AAAATTCTATTCCTTTTCCCTTACCGGCCCAAAATATCCCAATTGTTTAAATTTGGGCCGGGCTTGAAGCATCAGCAAACTCCATAGTTTGGGTTAATTAGGTTAGTAGAACGGTACTTTCCCGGTTTTCTATTCTCCGTGCGTTCCTTCTTCCCCTTCTTCACCGTCGGCTAACCGCCATACCAGAGATATTCGACGGAGAAGAAGAGGCAAAACTCCGGTCTCCAGCCATGGACTTGGAATCAAATTACGAAGTCACTCGCACAGCGGAGTTCATTCTTAGCCGGAACTTCACCAGAGTGGCTTTGCAGGTAACCTGCTCTTCGAAATTTAGTGGGGTTGGTTTGAATGCTTGCGTAGTTGAATCGAATTCCATTTCTTTTAGTTCCCAGATGAGTTATTGAAGGATTCGACAAAAGTCGTGGGTGCTCTGAGGAGCAGACTTCGATCACTCAGAGAAACTAATGGCGAACATAAACAAATTGGATTGTTTGTCATGGCTGACACAACATACGGCAGCTGTTGCATCGACGAGGTCGGAGCATCCCATGTTAACGCCGACTGCGTAATACATTATGGACATACGTGTCTTAGCCCGTGAGTTTTTTGTCATCAATTTGCTTAAAATTATGATCCCCATTTGAGAAAGTATATCAGTAGACTGGTTACTTCTGTTTTGTTTTTTTGAGAAAATTTCTGAATAAAGTAGAGAATTTTGGATGTCCTTTTCCCTTTCTCATGTTCCCATAGATGCTGAGCCTTTTGAATTCTCGAGTCTTGTTGTGTTTGTGAAATCCTTGTTTTCTGGACGAGGCACAGCCTCTATGCGGTGATGTACCCTTTTTGTGAAGATTATACCATAATTTGGAAGCAAAGATCCTACATGTTGCAGGCTGTCAAAAAAGCAATCTTTGTTTTGGAATCAGTATATCGGATCCTGTTTTTGATTACATGGTCTGGTGTGTAAAGCAATGACTTTTAATTGTTTAGCATGAAAGTTCCAAGGAATTGGGGTTCTTTGAGAGAAATGATCTCCTGTGTTTTGTTCATGAAATTTAGATCACTTCGGCAGATTTAGTATTCGCGGACTTTGAAGTTTCAGAGTAAATTTTGCAGACTCTGGAGCTTGGAACTGCTGAGACTAGTTAAATCTTAATCCCACGAAACATTATGGTTCCAGTGGCATTAATGTAGCTTGAGATCATTTTACTTTTTAAGATAACTTTTTAGGTCATGAGAAAATGGTCAAGACTGGTTGGGTTCTTAATTGCTGGAAAATCATATTCTGAATTTATTATAGTTTGCTGCGTGTTTCAGGCTCTAACAAGTGGGCTGCTGAACATATTGAATATGTTTTGTTGTCTTGATGTACGTATCCCGTGGTTGTCTCTGGAGTTGCTTAGGTTTGAAGATGTGACTGATCTCATGGTTTTATTTTTTTGTTGTTAACAGTTGTTAATTTTTGTTTCAGGACAACAACTCTTACAGCATTTTATGTCTTTGGTTTGAAGATGTTACTGATCTCATGGTTTTATTATTTTGTTGTTAACAGTTGTTAATTTTTGTTTCAGGACAACAACTCTTCCAGCATTTTATGTCTTTGGGAAAGCTTCAATCAGTATATCCAGTTGTCTTGAGAATTTATTAAATCACACTTTGACTAATGAGAAGCCCATTCTGGTATGCGATAAAAAAATTCCTTCTCTTCACTTTGTACTAAGGTTTAAACTGCCATGGGGATAAGAATACCAACTCATCTTTGCCATCATACTTGTATAAACTGTTAACTATTTTTTATGGCCATAGTATTTTATCTTTTCAAATATTATGCCTCTTTAGGGAATAACTCATAAAATGAAACAAAATACAAACAGGTTGATATGCTGACCAGGTAGAGAGTCTCAAGTATATCTGTTAGCCTTCTTTGACTTCCAAGGACAAAATATTTACATGCCAGACTTTTTCTTTTCTTTCCTATCATATGTTGATTCTGGAATTAATGTTAGCAAATTTGCAATAAAATCATCAGACTTGGTTGCACTAATGTCCAATGATGTTTTTATGATTGCTTCACAAAATTTGAAGATGTATTCATTATATTGGTTCTTGGATTTTTCTCTTTCTCAGTGTTATCTATTAGAATGATATTTCCAGAAATAGCTACAGCATATTTTCTCTATGGAGACCATTGGTACTATTTCCTCTTTGAATACAGGTTCTGTATGGGCTGGAGTATGCACATGCAATTCCACATATTAAAGAAGAATTGGTTGAATCATCAAGATCATATGGTCCTAAATCCAAAGTGGATATTCAATTCGCTGATGTTATGTGTTCAATGAGAAATCCATCAGAAGACCATAGGAACTCCAATGGACTCCTGGGAATTTTAGGTAGTTATACTTCTAATGATGGTTCAGCAGCTGCAGCTGATACTAGATATAGCATTGGAGGCTTGATCTGGGATATACCTGAAGAACATAAAATGGAGGATTACCAGCTTTTCTGGATTGGTCCTGAGAATTCAGCTTTTGCCAATGTTGTATTGACATTCAATAACTGTGAAATAGGTAGATAAATTGCCACTTTTCTCATGAGATATTTCCAACTTTAAAAAGTGCTACCCCCCATCCTTCCTTCTCCATCCATATAGTTGTCTGATTGATTTTATACTTTTTATGTGGTATGATTTAAATGAAATTTCCTTCTTCCGTTTTCCCTAGGCTTCCATATCAATTCTGATTGTTTTCCAAACTCAAACTCTCCCTTTCAACTTATTTTTTGTTTCAGAGGTAGCAATACCATGCCTCATATCATAGGAAGAACGAAATTGCTTTTACCATTTTAGTTGTTTTTTGCGAGTGATCTCTGCAAGATTGTATAATTAAGAAAAATATATTTTGAAGATTTGAGGTGCTTTTACTTCAATTATAGCTTGCTTCTAACCTATGTATTTTATAAGTGATAAAAGAATATATGTCTGATTCTGTTTTGGAAACTGTTTGTTTTTGTTTTGGTGGTTGGATTTTAGCCAGATATGATGCAATGGAGGATCATTTGGTAACAGATGTTTCTCAACAGAAAAGAATTCTCAAGCGTAGGTATGTCTTTTTAAGCTTGTTATCGTTTCTTAGTTTTCCTTCCCTAAATTTATAACAGCAGTACTTTTTCTTTATTTTTCCCTTTAACAATGCTCAGATTTTTTTATGACATTAACCCCATGCTGGGTTTATGTTTTTTAATTGGCTAAAAAATATCATTGGTTGGGTGGTGGTGGTGGTGGTGGTGGTGGTGATAGTGATTGGGGCAACCCTGCTTTACTTCGTGGTCATGTCTGTTGCTTTATTTTACCATTATTGTTTAACTCTTTACATGACTAATGTTTCTTGCAGATATTACCTAGTGGAGAAAGCAAAAGATGCTAGCATTGTTGGGATTTTGGTAGGAACTCTTGGTGTAGGTAGTTTTCCTTCATAATCCACCTGCACTTTACATTCTGTGTATAAACTATAGCCTTTCCTTGCTGTAAATCATTATTTAGAATAGAACTGTAAGCCCTGAATCTTTTTGTAGAAGATTACTGCAGCAGGTAACTTGCATGCAGATCAGTCTAAACATGTTTATATGTGTCTGTGCTTCTGACATGCACACACACTCTCAAAAAACTCATGCGTGGAATTCATGTACTACATATTATCATAGAGATTTGATGTTCTTTGTCTCTTTCATTGTCTGCAGTGCCAGTTTGAATCTTGGGTAAATTGCATTTTTCATGGTGTTTTCTTGTGCTTCTGCTCTAAGTATTACTATTTTCTCAATACTCATTCAGTGTGTTGTGAATCCTAGTTACATTATGGATGCTTGTCACATTGTTACTTCATCATTGTAATTCTAGAAGACAGATTTTAATTTTGCAACTGTTGGTGCAGCTGGTTATCTTCACATGATTCATCAAATGAAGGAATTGATTGCAGCTGCAGGGAAAAAGGCCTATGTCCTTGTCATGGGAAGACCCAATCCTGCCAAACTTGCAAACTTTCCTGAGGTGAAGTCTGAGTATTTGCCTTTTTTTCATTTAAGTCAGAATGTTTGAGTTAATATTGACAACCCTTTTTTTTTTATTACAATATGTTATTATTTTTAGTGTGATGTCTTCATCTATGTCTCCTGTGCCCAAACCGCTCTTTTGGATAGCAAAGAGTTCTTAGCTCCAGTTATTACTCCATTTGAAGCCACACTAGCTTTCAACAGGTACATATAGTATAACTGTGCTGCTTTTATTTCTTTAGTTTTTATTTGTTGAATAGATTTTATCCAATCCATTATTCAAATCATCATGGTATTCCCTCTTTCCCGCATGAAGTGGAAACATGCTTGTTGCTTGTTTATTTCTCTGTTTATTTAACTGCGACTACATATGCTCAACCAAACTAACCCAATAGTTATGATTTCAAGAAGTTAAATTTCCATTTAACTTTACATTTTTAACTGCACAGTAAAATTTACATTTTTAACTGCACAGTAAAATTTCCATCTGGTTGAATGCCATTTATATAAGAAGACGTAAAAAAATTAAGTAATTCAAAGATCAAACTTATCTGCTAATTAATTTTGGAGTTACTTTATCTCTTAAAAGATTTTGCCATGTACTCATATCATAGACAAAGCTTAAGTTACTTAACTGAACTGACTATACTATTTAGTAATCTTTTGTAGTCCTTTTATCTTCCTTTTTTCCAAATTAAGGGGAAAAGACTATTCTGGAATGGATATCTCCAGACCTATCCGTCTATCACCTTTGACTCCAGTTCATGGGGGTGCAATTGATGAAAAACTGTTGATTTCTGTTGGTTGGGGTTGATTTTTGAGGATGTGTTTTAGAAGTGTAAACATAAATTTGAAAGTTTGCTTCAAAGAAATATAAAGATGAAAGTAAATCTGAGGAGATAGGCTTGTGGAGTACATAGAATGCAAAGAAAAGAACTGTAGCACCAGGCACTGGGACTCTAAAGGAGAAATGCTCTAAGTCAAGTTCATAATTTGTATATGCTTTTAGTAATGGTTCTCTTTAACATTTTGGTGCTATCATTTTGGGTGTTCTAAGTTTGAAATCTTCATTCTTTAGGGGAAGTCAATGGACAGGAGCTTATGTGATGGAATTTCAAGATTTGATCAACTCTGCTCCTATGGAGGTGGGAGATCAACCAAATGAAGCACGTTTTTCCTTCCTTAAAGGTGGATATGTCGAAGACTTTGATGTGCAAGGTAAATGTCTCCCACTTATGGTTCTCTTTTTAGAGGCTTTTCAATTGCCTGCCATACAAGTTTGTCTTAACATTTTTAGGAAACTTATGGGAAAAACATGAGGGCACTTGTCCATTCCTTTAGAAGTAATGCTAAAAGAACATGATTACTACCAGCTCAGTCCATCTATGCTAATTTCTAAAAGGGTTAATATGAATGTCCTCTTGTTTTTTGCATGAATAACAATCTTAGTGATGCTGA